GAGCTAATGGAATTTGCTGCAGCATCTGATTTCATTCAGAACTGAGACTTCGAATGTGGGAAATATTATCAATGCATATAAAAAGGTAGATCTTTGGGGGGGGTACCATATATATATACATATGTATACATACATATATATATGTATATGGCTTAAAAGCTGACGGGGATGTGCAGAATCGTTTTGTAATCCCTGAGAAACCCTCCGAATCTAGGTACTTCATACACTTTAGACGTCTGGGTGGATAATGGCTAGGTCGCAGCTGTCGAAGCTTGCACCAAAGCTGGCGTTGATGCCTCCGAGCTGAATTTCCTCAAGGCGCATGCGGCAGACAGGGATTTAAGTTGCTACAGCTGTGTAAGGGTTGCAGCCAACTGGGTTTTAGGAGTGGATGCATGCTTCCTTTTGATTGTGGCAATTTTACATGTTGGTTGAATAGCTGAAAATCACACTCTCAAGGAGCTTTCCCTGTTGCGTCTGGTCATAGGTGGTGGCTGTGCTCTGGACAGACTTGCATGTTATAATCCACTGTAAGTAGATAGAAGTATGGGAATCTCATTATCATATAAACCCTAGAAACCATATTCTATCAATTAAGGGGAAATATAGGTTGCTGCTTGGGATGGGGAAGGGCTTCATCTGGTAGGTTGCACATTGCTCCGCAGAGGGTTATATAGGGATGACTCCTTAAAGGGTGATAATATAGAGGATTATATAGGGTTTAGAGTTTAGGGTTGGGGGGTTATAATACCCCAATAATGGAGAACTAAATGGAAAAGAACACGGGAGATGAAATAAATGGTAACTGGGATTCTTATGCGGAACCCAGGCTTATGTTGGGATTATAAAAGGATGATGTCGCAGTGTCATAGATGCTGTGTCAAGACATCTTAGAACAAGTGTCGCGTTGTCAGCGGGCCATTGCTGCAGCACCTTCAAGCGAATCTCTATAGTGTCTTTAAGCTTTCATAGTGTGTTTCTGGTTTGGAGCAGGGGCTCGACTTCACCTGCCCAACTGGACAAGGCTTCCTATTGTCTATAGCAGATCCAGCACCACACCGGACCTCAGAGGCCAGCTAAAAGTGAAATGGGTTAGACTCCACTCTCACGATCCTGTGAACTGAGGGTTCAGGCAATGCAGCTCATCTGGGCGCGACGCATGTGATTCACGCCGCTTCAAACTCTAAGAATTGGCATTGTTGCTGGCACGACAGTTGTGGTTTGCATTCGTACTCCCACTTTTTTTCCAAACTTCAACGGACATTTGCAGGCGGCTATGCAGAAGAGGGCTGATGGTCGCGGGCTGAGGACCGATGCGTGGTGATGGGGATCAAAGCTGGTGTTAAGGAAGCTAATACAAGGAGCAAGTCTGCAGAAGAATAGGGAACCTCGCAGTAATGACAGCCATGCTCGACGCAGCCAACACAGGAACGTGATGGCATGTGAGCTTCGCGGAGCAGCTGAGGCTCGAAGCTTGTCATGGAGTATGACACCTGCCCTGCCTTGTGGAAGCCTCGGGATCTGCAGCATTTTTGAAGCAAGAGCCGCGGCTGCCCGCACGGCAGTCGGCCACGGTCGCTGTAGATGTTCAAGCTTAGGCTTGGAGTTCTGGTCATGAAGACGGATGAGGCAATGCTAAGACACTGCATTGCATTGCTGCAGCAGGCTTTCAAAAGCTGGTCCTGTTGCATATGCTTCGGTACCTCAAGATTTTCTTCCCTGCTCATGGGCTGCAGTCAAGAGCTGCAGGCTGTGCTGGACAACTCCCTGTCAATACGCTTGGAGCGATGGCGGATGAAGCTGCTGGCACCGTTCGCATAGCTCCCACGTTGAGGCCCACGAGCCCCCTGGCTTCGTTAAGCTGCAACCTATTTCCGAAGTTCAGAGATGGTCCTGCTGACTTCATGAGGTCCTTGAGCAGTCCACCTTGGGCTTCATCACATACACGGACCCTTCTCAGGCACTGTATATGGCTTGTGCGATATGCGGTCAAAAAATGTGTAACGGGCCTTGCCTGCGAATGTGGTCCGGCATCCTCGCAACGTTTGCGCACGGCTTGAGGCTTTTTTGTGATTAAAGCGCAAGGCAGAGGTGCGGAGGCGCTGGGAAGCTTCGGGCTCAAGCAGTTCGCGTATTTGCATCCGGCAGGGCGGTCGCCATGCAGCGCCGCAGGCCTGGGCGACTCAACCCAACTAGGCACGGCCCGTCAATATTTTTCCACTGCATATCGCAGATACTGTACAGTACCCCAAAACGAGCCATCCGAAGCAATCATCGGATGGATCCTTTTGGGGTACTGTATGATGTCTGCGATATGCAGTGGAAACAATGAAGACCGGCCTGCAGGTGTGTGGGAGGTCCTTGTGGATGTAAGGACTCGTTGGGAAGCTTGGGGCTCCTAGCGTCGGTCGCATCCGACAGTGCTTGTGCCATGCAGCGCCGCAGGCCTGGGGGACTCAACCCAACTTCGGTGGAGGGCCCGCCGAGCCTTCCAACAAAGTGGGGTTGAGTCCCCCGGGCCTTCGGCCCGGCGGGCCTGCTGGAGGGCTCGCCAAGGGAGGCGGCCGCTGACTGCATCAGGAGCAGGGTCCAGTCTGGGCATGCTGTGAATGCATGCTGTTCCCAGAGGTTCATGTTGGACTCGCCAGAGATGTTCGCCATGGTCTTGGCCAGCAATCCCAAAAGGCTCCCGGCGCAGAGCCGAAGCCACCAATTCTGGACTGGCTCGCTGAGTGGCTCAGAGTATTCTACTGGGTTCAGCCTTTGCAGTCTGATGGGAGGCTTGGGCAATGTTCTGGGCCGCCCAAGGTGGGGCAGACGTTGTTTCTCGACGCTTTGATTCGACGTGCTTGGACGCATTCTTGCTCCGGCAGGTGGCTCCACAAGCTCGAGGTCCGCTGAGGCCAGTCCGGCCTAGAAGGTGCCGTCGCGAAATAATCCAGATTCTGTCAGTCACATGTTGAAGCCATTTGAAGCCCACGAGTTCGCTGGCTTCGTTAATGGTTGCAACTCGTCCTGAAGTATCGCTTCAGATGGAGGAGCCCATTTGTGCGCCGGAAGATGTAAAAGGGTCGGTGCCTGCGAATGTGCGTGGCATCTTCGCGAAGTTTGCTCATGAGCAGTTTCTCAGTATTGCACGAGACAGATATCCGGACCAGCTGAGAAGCTTTGGGCTCAAAAAGTTCCTGTTGCACTTGACAGTGCTTGCGCTATGCAGCGGCGCCGACCTGTTGGGCTGAACCCCACCCTGCTTGAGGGGTCACCCAGGAACGCTGCAGGTGAGTATGCAGCTTGCATGGGTTTGGACGACGCAGCGGACGCACAAGCAGCAATGCATGCGGATGGCGTTGCATGGAAGGAGCGGGGCTTAGGACGCTCTGAATGCTTGCCATTCCCAGAATTGCATGCTCAACTAGGGTTGCATGTTGGACTCGCCAGATGTTCATTGTGGTCTTAGACAGGAGTCCGAAAAGGCTCTTCGCGCTGAGCCGGAGCCGTCCATTGTGGACTGGCTCAGTGAGTGGCTATGCTGCTGCTGTGGCAAGCGAGAGGGCCACTGAGTGCCCAAGCAGCGCTAGCCAGAGGAAATAGAATCTTTTGTTCCACGAGCGTCAGCATGCTGTTGGGCTCAGCCTTTGCAGTTCCATGCGAGATGTGCGAGGCTTGGGCCATACTCTGGGCAGTCCAAGGTGGGGTAGACGTTGTTTCTCGAGGCTTTGTTTCGACATGCTTGGGCATCTTCTTGCTCCGGCAGGTGGCTACCCAAGATCCAGGCCAGTTCAGGCCGTCCTGCCTAATCAGTGCGGTCGCGAAATGATCCAGAATCTGTTCGCTACATGTAGAAGCACGGGCTATCGGGCTAGTTTCATCCGTCCGTGCATTTTTACAGTGAAGGGGCAGCCTCTGACTCTTCATGAAAGTTGTAGTGCTTTGCCCAGGTCGGTATTTTGGTGCGAGAAAGGGTCTTGCCTGGTACACTCCTGCAACCTCTTGAAATCCTGCAACTTTACATGTTTTCCTTTTGCCGTTGGCGCGTGCCTGTCTAAGCTCATTGACTGATCCGGGCTTCACGGCTGAACGACAAAGTTCTCATGGCACGTTAGTAGTCAGCATGTCTATGGCAGCAAAAGTCTAAGAGAGCCCAGACGCAAGCTGTTTTGACCTTTCTTGTCACAATGTGCCGCCGGAACCAAGCCGTCGGCAGGAGTGACCCCGCCGGCATGGCCGCTGGCGCTGCCTCGGGCCAAGTTTTCCAGGACAGGTGATCACTTGTCCTAAGGGTCCAAGTACTTAAATATTGGGGCTTTAGGTATCCTAACGCCATATCACTTGGGACGTGGACCCTTTCGGTTGAGAAAGGTATCAACTTGTGCTAACGCATAGTGACCTAGCTGCAGGCTTCGCGACAGGGAGCCACCAGCGATTCACCGGTAGCAGCTCTGGGAAATTTGTAGTCTTGGTAGAAATATACACACGTTATCTATAATTAGGGGCCTCCAAGACTCCAAAATATGTTTTGTTGGTTCGTTATTTTAATCCGAATAACAACCGAAACTTAGGTTTCTAGTAGGGTTCCGAGGCCGGTTTAGTTAGTTTTATATATATATATACATATCGATATATGTAGATACACAGCTGAAACATGAATGGTAAAAAGCGTTGTTGAAGTTTTCGCTGCAACACTAAGCGAAGCTGCAATTGGGGCTTGCAGACTAAACCCTAAACTTTAAACATTGGGGAGGTGGGGCAATGAAGATCCCTGACTGAGAGCTGGAAAACAAGGACCGCCTTACTTTCTTGCCCCACACAATTCTGAAAAATGTGATCACATACCAAGCCCAACTCTACGTTGGTAAAAGGTTACTGCACATTATCAGGGCCGTAGCAGTACCCGCAAGAGGTTGCCGAATTGGGCGCCGTTTGCTCCAATTCTGGCACCGTGCCGAACTTCCTCAAGGACGCCCACATGTTGGCAAAACCTGTGTTTCATTGCATTGTTAGTGCACAGTTTTGGTCAGAACTTCTACGGCGGAGAGAAGAAGTCGAACGAGTATGCGACAGGATATGTTGGTCATGTTGTGGCATGTCGTCATAATCAGCCCGAAGCCCTGGAACCCTAAAATCTCAATTGCATAGTTATACCTTGCAAGTTATACCCAAAATGTCCTAGAACCTGATACCTCTAAATCCTAAAACAAAAGCATAAAGCTGTAGACCCTACGTTGCATCTTTCGCAAGGAGTTCAAGTTGGCCATCAAGAAGCCTGGGATCCAGCCACAAAGCAAGGACCGACTTTACTTCGCAATCATTTTGGCGTTCGATGCTTCTGGATTTGTGGGTTTAGAGCGTGCTGTTCAGGATCAGAGAACTGATACTGACTTGCAAAATGACATGGAAACTGGGGGGCTTGTTTTGAGTGGTTTACTGGTGCTATTGAGGAATGGATCTGTCTGTAAACCCCCTGCCAAAAAAAGAGATCCTTATATATTGAAATACCCGGTACTATAACCAATAGGCTTTGCTTCTCGTTGATGAGCCTTAGAACCAATATACTCATGTTCTATCTACTTAAGGGGGACTATAGGGCTTAGGGTTTGGGATTGTTTGGGATTGAGAGTTCGTGGTTTGGGTGAAGCTGCCGCAGATTCGGGAGTTTCCCAGAAGTGCTGCTAGATCGATGATTCATTTGTCATTCTCCACTTTCAATTTTGTAATCGCCTAGAAACCGTCGGAATCTTAGTCACTTTGGGCATTTTCGGTGGATCACGGCCAGGTTGCAGCTTTCGAAGCTGTTGGCAGCAAAACTGGCGTTGGTGCTTCCAAGAAGGATTTCCTTCAGGCACATGTGGCAGAAAGGGATGTAGGATTCTAGCTTTGAGGGCTGGGTTGGTGTGTTGCGGTGCCCAGGGTTCTAGACTTCAGAGATTAGGTTTTGGACTGTAGGAGCTTCGTCGGAACAACCTACCTGTTCTTGTTCGATGAAAGGCCTTGAACGATGTGTTTTGTGCGAGGACCTGCTAGTGCTTTGGCGAATGTAGAGGCTTCAGAAATTTCCAATAGTATTCATCTGCTGTATAAATATGAGAACACTAGGTTGAGCGGCCATTCCGAGACATGGGCTAGTAACATGCTTTCCCGGCTTGCAACAGGCACCTTTGCAACGAGGCTCTTTTGTTGTGCATACCTGTGCAAAGGTGTGCAACAACAGGGCGCGACAAAGGGGTTTGTAACAGGGGGGATGGCGACAACATGACTTTTTGATCCAAAGCCGCATACACGCCTTGATAACATGATATATCCCAAAGCCCTTCTTTGATCATGTAGGCTCCTGCACTGTGCATCAAAATTAGAACAGGAGGTCTGTTTCCTCCTGCCACGGAATCTCAGAGTCCTTATCACAAAAGCCTGCTTGCCAGGTACTGGTTGACAAGCGCACCCACCTGTCCCGCGTGATTGATATCTTTGAGGCTTGGGCTGGGAGTCACAGCCGCCAATGCATGATGTTCAAACAGCGGTCATGTCAAGGATCTAGGTTCATAGCAGGAGTCTCATTGAAGTTCATATCACGGGATGTTGTCAAGATTTTGGGTACTTCTTATCATTATGATTAGTGAAGTCGTAGGCGCCCCATCCGGACAAATGAGCATTGTGTCAGCGAACGGTCCTGGTCAGAATTTCTACCGCGCGGAGAAGAACTCTGTCGCGTGCAAGGCGCGGGTTCTGCAGGGCAGGCACTGTACGAGTATGACGACATATTCAGAATTGGTTCATATTAGGAGCATTTGAGGCGCAAAATTGGCGGGTTTACTTGTGCCACAGTG